CCCCCCCCCCCCGTTAAGAGATTCAGCGTGAATCGTTTTTGTACTCGTATCCGATATTTTAACGACCTTACATCGATTGTGAGAAAATACATTAATATATTGAATCCCTGCGTGTGTACGTAGCCATTCCGTTAGAGATGGTAGGCGGGACGAGGAAACGATAACGATCGAAAGTCGATCGAACAAAATCATACGATTCTAGATTCGGCGAACGCGTGTCGCCGGCACAGGTCTAAATATTTATATATTACACGGAAACGATGACATATTGTATCGACGTTTAATATTATCTTTCACCGTTAAAACTGTGCATAATGTCCCGGATGTGAGACGCGACTTCAAAAATGTAACAAAAGAAAATAAATGCTGTTTAGAGAACTATAAAATCAATCACGTTTTCTTTCATTTGTATACCTCTCGTAAAAAATACATAAGAGATACATTTAGAATTGGACTTAAAATTAAAATTAAATATCATATTCTTATATTTATATGTATAATTACACAAGAAAAAAAATCAAATATGGATTTTCATTAGACGAACATAAACATCTTATAATTAAAATAATTAGTAATAGTACCTTCATACCTTCATACCTCAGCAACGTTTTGGAATTGAGAAAAGATTAGTGTTGGCTTCTTTTATAAAAAAAATTCTTAAAATATTAAGATTTATAAGTAGAAAGTCCATACGGTCTTAATATTTTAAAATATTTTATTAATAAAACTGAAAGATAAATATCGTATGGCATTAATTTTTATTCACAAATGAAAACAGATTCGTTCAATTTATATATTATTATACGTACAGTCATTTAAAGAAATAATAACCGCAGTACGCGATGTATGCGTATGAAAAATCTTTTATTGAAAAATGTTCTTTCACGCTACAACGTCAGTGTATGTACCTTCGTCTATTCAACTTTTTATAACAGTACAAAAATTGCATTTTTACAAGTTGCCCAGCTTACTTATGTGACTAAGGTATCCCAGTTAGCGATCTGACGAATCTGAAGGGTCTTATTACGACTTATCTAGTATTATCCGGAAAAGCTGCGGCAAAACGTGAACACTAGTACTTCAGCGAGGGTGCGAGACCCCGCGTACAAGGAAAAAAAAAAAAAAAAAGACGTCTCGCGGCGCGCTTTCCGGTTGCGCGACGCGTTTTTCTTTAAAGCAAATCAGTCGCTATGACGCGTCGGTCCTATACCTATCCGCACCGGATCTAATTATCCATTTTGCTATCTGGGTCTCGTCGTGAATGCCTTCAGCCGGAAACTCGCATCGTCTTGTTCTTCTCTAAATCGCAATCGAGGAAAATCATTCCAACAATTTTTACTACTACTACACCCATCAAGTGCGCAACCCCTGAGCAGTCGGTGGTTGGTTCGCAAGTATCCGGCCAAAGAGTATTCCACAGTATTTTAACCCCCCCCCCCCTCTTCCCACCCCATACATATTTTACTTTCGTCTATCCTGAACCGAGGTCAACGAGCGGATAACAGAACGCGGCAGGCGTGGTACATATTTTACCGCTACCCAAATTAAATGGATAGTCAGAAAACTCGATATGAATGTAACGAGTTAATAAGTAAATAAAATGTGCACACGCATATGTGTAGAGAGTCGCAAATTGAAAAATCGCAAGGAGTTGAGTCTCATCAGTATTTATATACTAATAGAATTTATATCGCATTAAAACACGAGAAGTTCCATTAATATGTAAAGTACAGATTCCATAAAATGGAAAAATTTTACGTTACCATTGGTGAACTTTGTTCAACTGTGTTTTGATATTTCGGTAACCGTTTCAGATTTTTGCATTTTTAATTATATCGAAAATATAATTATGCAACATGTAATGCGCATTTTACATTTATTTATTAATAAAATTCATCATATCGAGAGTTAATATACTTTCGACTCGAAATGTTCTTTTTATATATACTCCTTGTGATTCTTCATTTTGCGATCAAATCGTTTTAATCAAACGATTTTGACGATTTGTTTATCCGTTCGTTTTCACTCGTTGTTCGCGTGCATTGACGGCACAGCGCCTTCAGAAATCACGTAATAAACCACCGCCGATAGTTAATTTTGAGCAAGACAGACATCCACCAAACTTGACAAAGACCGTGCAAATACTAAGTACATTTTTACCGTTATTCCGTAAAGCTTATTCACAAACAACAATAGTGATAGATTAATGATTCGATTTAGCAAAAATTAACGTAACGGCGGTTGCGATCCTCGGCAGGATTGATTACATTTTTTTTTTCCTTTTTCTTCCCACACCTTTTTCTTTTAGCTTTGATCACTATATATGTATACGTTTCGCGGATAAAATCTCTTTGCATCCTCTATTATTAGTTCAGGTCCTGCCTTTGTCAGTTGGAGATTAGATGCTGCGCTTCAATTAGATGAAATATATAAGTAGTAATTCTACGTTGAATGAAATTCCTGATGTCGCTTAGGAGCAGTCTTTGAGCTTTTTCACATGCGTTCTCGCTCGAATCGCTTTACTTATTGCGCGTATAACTTGGCGAATGTGAATATGTGTAATGTGTGTTTATGGCTGTGTACGTACATGTGTGCAAGTGTGATCGCGTATGTAGGAGTGGATGTCGTGCGTGTGTGTGTGTGTGTGTGTGTGTCCCCTATATAAATTCCTGGTAATATGTATGTGTTAGATTTAATGTATAATTAATTAACTATACAGGTTAACTGATAGAAATAAAAATCGTTTGACTAGCTTTTGATCATTTCTCTTGGAATTCATAGTTTTCATCCTTCGCAATATATGTATATGTATATAACTGATCGAATACAGTTTTGGTTCTGCTGCTATTGCCGCTGATCGAGTAAAAGATATCGCGTGTATGGAACGAAATAATGATTAAGTATGGTCATTCCTTCAGTGTACGGTTATTACTAAATATAGACAGTTCTTAGCAGGATACTCCTGGATTCGAGAAATCACCGCGCGGTCTTACACGTATTATCCTCTAGCAGAATATAATTATTACAATAATCGCTAATATAATATATACTAATTAACTAGTTTTATCCTCTCTTCAACCTCTCTTTCGCTCGTTTAATTTTTTTTTTCTTAAATCTCTTTCGCTCTTTCTCTCTCTCTCTCTCTCGCTCGCTCGCTCGCTAATTCTTAATATTTTGACAAGTTTTTCCTTCTTCGCAGTCTTCTCCAATTATTCTATTCACGCGCGCACGAGATCCGTGCGAATGGAAGGGACAGAGAAGCATCCAGATAATCTAAATCGACGGACCGTGGCGCGTGAATTATTCAGTCTTTCGTTACATATTTTTTTTTTTTATTTCACGTTAATCGATTATTATTCACTAGCGTTATGCGATTTAATAAATTTTCTGCTTGCACGAAAAAATATTATGCTACATTACTCGCGACGCTACTTTAACACATGCTAAATAGATTAGATACGATGTATGCTTATAATTTAAAGCCACAGATTTCGATGTCGCGCCATAGCGTACGGCGCCAGTCTACCCTCCCTCGAATTTCGCTGCTACTTTATATCAAATTTCTATACCTCATACTGTTGGTTTGCTCGTTTTCCCTTCACATAAGGCCCTTAATATCCATTATTGTATATTTACTTGTGGTTACATCATCTTTATAACAAGAAAAAAAAAAAAAAAAAAAAAAAAAAAAAAGAAATAAGGGATATGAAATCCATCAACCAAGTTGGTAAATCACGAGATCTGTGCGCAAACTACAAAGCATACACGCCGCCATATGTGCTTCTTGGTACAGATGAGATTAAGTTTTAAAGGTATGCGCGGATTAATTAATGCGACAAAGCGGCAACCCTTTAAGTATGCTCGTTCTCTAAACGGAGTATAGTAATAGAGTAAAGAGCGATAGTAACGGTAAGTGAGAGTGACAATAGTGACGATAATAGTGGAAATAGTAGTAAGTGATGATAGTAATAATAGAGTAGCGATAGTAATAGTGATAGTAGGAGCAATTGTAGCACTAATAATAGTGATGTAAGTAATGATAAGAGTAAAAATATAATAATAATAATAATAATATAGCAATAATAATAAAAAGAAGTAAAATCAGTCTAAGTTATTAAAAGTGAATTACGTTACTACAACGTCTCTTGGCGCTTAAAATCAGACGAATTCCATTTCGTAAAATGGATAACACAAAAAATAATATTGCAAAACATCGCATAGTGATGTAATGTAATTTTTCCATCTTCCTTTCCTCGCATTTTATATGATTTAAAATTCCTTTTCTCTCTATCTTTCATAAAACTCTACGCATGTGTGTATACATATATATACTTCTTTTTATATAATATCTTTATATATATATATATGGTTGCAGCAAACAATCGAGGAAAGAATCTATCTTTCTAATAGCATTTGGCTTGCCAAATTCTGTCAATTAAATAATACAATTGCATCGGACATAATAAAAATAATTGGTATTTATGTACTCGTATGTGTATGTGTATGTGTATGTGTGTGCGTGCATGCGCACGTATATGTACGTGTAAAGTCATTCAATGTTCAAAGAAAAACTTATCTTTATCTCTGTCTTTTAGCAATGTCGCACGTGTCGGACATTTTTTTTTCCATTTGGTAGAGATATATTAAAGCGTAAGTGTGTCTACACGCAGGTATTAGCACACAACAAAAAAAAAAATATGTGTCGTCTCATTGCAGTATCACTTTAAAACTGACTCGGAAATTCTATTTGTTAAAATGCGAACGAGCGTGCGATAAAGATGACTCGCATTTTAACAAACAGAATTTCTCTTAAATGAGTTTTCGGAGTCGAAAATCCGAAAAGGATTGTTTAAATGGGACTTACAACAAATCCTAGAACGCATACATGGAAGATTAGGCCTCGCCAAACCCACCGATCGCTTGCTCGGTCATTCTCAAGCAGAGCGATTCCAAACTAGAATCGATTTCCGGTTCCGTTGTCTCATTTGCTCCATTGACAGAGTGTCCCACAAAATGATCCCGCGGGGCGCTATATGTACGTTGTAACGTTTTCTGTAACTGCTGTAAAATAAAATTGAAACCATTATACGAATAAACGGGATAAATTGTAGGTCTTAAAAATTTTTTAAAATAGATTCTTTTTTACCTGCAAACTATTCTCCTGCAAGCTCGGTCTCTTCTCGGTCGTGTGGACCGCACGCAAATTGCTCGTATTCATGTTATTCATACTCTGAGTCTGATTCTGATTAGTCTGCAAATATGGTGTGGATATACTGTTTCTGTGCGAGCTAATCATATACTGGTTGTGTGTATGAGTACTGTGGATATGATTCAAATTCAGACTCGGCTTTCTATTGTGCTGTTGCGGATTCCCATACCTCCTGTTATTATACCCATAGTTGTGCTGCTGCCACCTAAAATTTCATATGTTTCATCATTAAAAGTTGCCGTATATTTATACACATATTGCTTCGCTCGGATTTCGCATTAGAAATATTTTCTGTCGAAAACATATGTCTCGGCTTACTTTGGAGTCGGTCGCGGATTGCCAAGTCTACTGCGCCATTGTTGTACTTTCTCCTTCTGATTCGGAGTAAAACAATCATGTTGCAATACTTTTTCCAAAATGTTGATGTATGCACATAAAATACCATCCTCTACACTTTCCAAAGCTAATCTACTGCACACTAAAAGAAAAAAAAAAAACAATGTAAAAGATAATCACTTTTTAATCACTAATGGAATTTTGGAGTTAGAATTTTTTAATAAAAAAGTTTTTTTATATATACATTTTCCAAGCACTTTCGTGAATTGGGCAGGAATATCTTGTGGGTCGTTCTCCTGACTCGGCTTCATAGGAGTAGCCAAAATCGTTTTGAGTTCTTCCATCGTATTAATGAGCAATGATGGACCTTGTGAGAATGAAGTGTTTTGCATACCATCACGAGTACTAGGTTGCACCAGACCTTTTTCTAGATTTAAAAGCGTGTTATATCGCTGCTGCAGTTTAGCGATAGAGAGAGCCAGCTTGTGCCTAGCGCCTTTCGTAACCCCTTGCTCCGCTAATTGATCCTCTGTCAATTGCAGCATTTCTTCATAACTCATGGTAGCGAACAAGTAACTATACTTATGAAGCCGTAATGTTTTAAGCCATAATTGTACGTCTACAAGTAAACAAAAATTTAATTAGATATCGACATTCTTGTCGGTAACGAAGAAAATATAATTAATTAGAAGTAATTTCAAAAAAAAAAGATGTAATTAAGATTCCATAATTTAAAAATATAGACAAACACAAATATTTCAAAATATAGGAAAGATAACTTCTTTCAATCATATACTGTTAATAATAATAATGAAATTGCATTTATATCTACCTCTCATGCCGCTCGCGAGCGAACGGTTTGAAGCGTCATCCAAACGACCCTCGCTACCGCTGCTTGCGCAGGAACTCTGTGGACTCAGTGGACCCAGACCGATGATGTTACCTAATGACAACATTTATAGATATTCGTGATATATGTTACATATTCATCTATACGAAATATAATTGAGAATTACTAGCATGATCGCCCGAGACGCTAAAACTGCGCGGTTTGTGCCTGGATGAATTATTCGCATTATTGGTACGCTCGACGATTTCGAGATGATGCGATGGTGCTACTGGTGGCGTCAAACTGTTCGAACGCCGTTGACGATTAACGGATGTTGGAAATGGTGCATTAAACGTAGTATTCGGTTGAATATTGAACAAATTTGCCGGCTCATTATGTTGCTTGGAGTTCCTCTGCCATGGATTATCCCATCTTATAAGGAAAAAAATCAAGTTCAAAACAAATTTCAAAACATATCACAGATAAGATGTTATTTAGAAGTATGATACGATGGTATCATATTATTTTAGCTTGACATACTTTGGAGTATTTGGATATTCTTCGAGACCGGAAATGGGCGGTGTACTGCTGATACGATCTTCAAGATGTCTGAGCCACTGAGTGAAATTACGTCGATCTTGATTAGTGATAGCCGGGTGTATCAAAGTGTAACTCAGAAGCTGTTGCGTCTGTTCTGTAAACTGACCCGTGCTCACACAATGGCTCACCAATTCGGGTATCGCTATTAGATAGCTTCGTTTGCACTCCAAATTCCCAGGCCTTAACAAGGGCAAATGCGTCAAAAGTTGATGAATTGCGACCTCTGTCGACTCTGACATTAATGAATTAATATAATCTGTAACATAAAGCATTTTATTTTAACACGTTATTATAAATATGATACATAAATTATAATTTTGTTAAATCAAGCATAAAGTCTTAAATATAAAATGTGAATATTGTTGTAATTACTTGGATTGTTGGCATTCGTCTCCTTGGTATCCAATTCTGTCACAGAGTGCAAAGAGTGCTGTATTGCCTGCGCGAGAAACCTAGCCTGTACTGCAGGCAAATGACGTAGCAGTGCATAGAGAACGACAGTCTGTTCGCATTCGTTCCACTGAGAGAATACACGAGTGAGTTCACCCACTTGTTCATTAAAGGGAGTACTAGATCCCCACTTCATTTTGGTTCACTTAGATATTTCTCTTCCGTTTCAATCACTCCTCAAACGCACAGCACTCGTGTTCACAGCCTTCAAATAGCTGGCAAATGCCAGTTATTTTACTATAAATAAAAAGAAAATTTCTCAGTTTATCTTCGGACATTTAATCTAAACTACAAAAGAAATAAGTGTTTACAAAGAGAAAACAGAAAATTATCATTTTAATATTCCAAATAGTTTCATAATAATTTTATAAACAAAAAGCAAATTAAAAATATCAATGTTTTTTTTATTTTTAAAGTATAAACAAGCGTACAAATTGATTCACGTGTTTTCTCATCTGATAAAAAATAAATAATCCCCAAACATCTTGTGTAAATTTCAAGAAATACAAATTCAGCTTCAAAAACCTTACGAGGAACAGGTAAGGCGAATCGCGATTGGTTACTTCACAAAAAATTTATGTTTCAAGGCTGAACCTATCCCGTTGGTAAACGTGGCGAAAAATTCGGAAACAAAGGCCCGCCAACGTCGTCTTGTCCCACCTTGTAAGATTTCTCAAAGCATGCACGTTGTCACTCTACCACCCGCGTCCGTTGAAAACCCCGATCGAATTATTTCTCGAGTGCAGTTTTATCGTTCGTCACAACGACGCGACCGGCCGGATTTTTCGTCGCGATGAACACAAATTCGAAGAACGTGGGTTCGACACATAACCTCAAAGTCGTCTGCGTGTGTACGCCGATAAGAGAATTCCGCTGAGGTCAAGTTTGTTTACCCCGCGCGTGATGCGTGTGTATTTATAGTCTTTCCTGCTACGATCCGTTCGGCGGTGCAATGGCATCGCGCGCGCGAGAAGGAGCGACGTGACGGATGGAGGGGGGAGGAGGAAGAGGGGAAGAGTGGGGGGCAAGGGAAGAGACGAGCGGCGCCCGACGCGACAGGGAAAACCGATAAGACGCCTTCGAGGAGTTTTTCCTCTTCTTCTTTCACCGCCGAAAAGCAAGGCGGCGTCCCGATGCGATCTCCGCTCGCGATTTCACTGGATATTCGCGTCCCCATCGTTGATTCGCCCTTGTCAACGTGCGCGTTGCTATATGTATACACATATTACATGTCTGAACGTGTCCTATGCGTGTGCGTGCGTCTCGCCGCGCGTCTCGACGTCACGAGCGAGGACCAACAAGAAAGAGAGAAACGGAGAGAAACCGGTAGCAGGCGCGGGAGAGGGAGAGAGAAAGAGAGAAACAGTTATGCGAACTATACACATCGGCGGGGTGGGACGGAGAAGGAAGGGACGAAACAAGGCAGGACGCAAAAGAATCTCCCGCTGGGAAAGATCGAGAGAAATCGATCGGCGGATGTGTCCTTGGTGAAGACGATTGAAAGATCGAAAGAGATCCACCAGCGGATGTATTCCGGCGAAGTATTATCGACGACGTCGACGAAGAAGAAGACGATGATGACGATGACGACGCGGATAGAGACGACCGCCGCCGTGGAACCACTCTGTCGCCGAGGGATGCACTGTGACGCACTTGATCACGATGCATCCCTCGGCAACGAGGCAAATAACGACACGCCGCTAATTTCGAGTTTGGTCGTTGATCATCGTCATCGTCGATATTGTCGTTGTCGCCATCGTCATCGTCACCACCATCATCATCATCATCATCATCGTCGTCGTCATCGTCATCGTCATCGTCATCGTTATCATTATCGTCATCGTTGTTGTCGTCGTTGTCGTCGTCATCGTCGTTGTTGTCGACGTCGGTCGGTCGATCGGTCGGTCGGT